GGCACCTGGGTGGCTCAGTCGGTTAAGCGTCTGCCTTCAGCTCAGGTCATGATCCCAGGGTCCTGGGATCGAGCCCCGCATCAGGCTCCCTGCTCCACGGGAAGCTTGCTTCTCCCTCTCCCACTATCCCTGCTTGTGTTCCCTCTCTCGCTGTCTCTCTGTCAAATAAATAAATAAAATCTTAAAAAAAAAACAACCTCCCCTCAAATTATTCTATATTCTGGCAAACAAAATTCTTTCATTCATTCATTTAATCCTTGAGCAAGCGCAGTACGTTGGACAGTGGGATGGAAACTTTGAAGAAGGGAATGTGTGATCAGGCAAAAAACCTTCTCAAATTGTCCATTCATTCATTCAGTTAATATTTATTGAGCACCTACTGTATGCCGGCCATCGTGCTTGACTCTGAGCATAGTCCCTGCCCTCATAGAACTTACATTTTAGCAGGGGAAACCAACAGTAACCAAATAGTAAATAACATAATAAGTAGATAATCAGCCATAAAATAGTTATCACTCATGATAGATGCACTTGAGGAAATGTTCAGGGTCCTGAGACAGAGAGCAATGGGAGGAGGGATTCTACCTCGGGTGCAAAAAAGGCTTTCCTGAGAAGTAGACAGTGAAGCCAAAGCCTGAAGGACAAGAAGGAGCAGAGCAAGTGAAGAAGGATGGGGACGCTCTTTGGTTTCTCCTCTCTTCCCTTCTTCCTTCTCCTGCCTAAGGTCCGTGAGTCTGAAATCACTGAGCAGGCATGATATTGACCTGTTGTTGTAGGACGGAGGGCAGACCTGCGCACCTGGGCCGTGGTAGACAAGGCCCTGGCAAGGGGTTGCAAGGAAGGCTGGACAGGTGCACAGGGGCCGGATCTCATCTGGCCTGAAGATTTCCTTCTGTGTACAATGGGAATCCAAGAAGGTCAAAATAATTGTCAATGAAGGTTTACTCAATCCTTATTACAGCTGGGACCTTAACTTTGGTTGTTTGGCTTTGGGACACAAATCATCCCCTCCTCTCCAGGCTGATTTTATTTGTGTTTTCTAAGTCCCCACCATGTGCTCTTTTTATTCAGCCAGCGAGCTCAATTTTCGTGGCCTCCCTGTGGATGCAGACCAGCTCTCAACTTTGTTTCAGCTGTGCCTGATCGTGGGCAGCCAGCAGGGGGCGCCGCTGCAGTGCTTCTGAGGGATCCGCCGCTGCCAGGCCCTGGGAGGAACTCCACACCCAAGTGACCTGCACAGGGGCCTTCTCATCCCCTCTTTCTACAAATCTTTTCTCTGCAGTTGAGAAGGGAGGTACTCCTGGCTCATAATACTCTGAATAAACCCCAGGTGGTATACCCAGTGTGGAGCTGGGCTCCGGCTCAGGGGATGGGAGTCCTGGGCTCTTGTTCCACTGGGCCACTGAGTAACTGAGTGGCCATGATGGGCAAGTCCTTTTCATTCTCTTAGCCTTGGTTTCCTTATCTGTAAAATGGCCTTCTTGGATCCTGTCCAGATAAAACACACACAGAACGGAGCAGGCTAACATTCTGGATGAATTTGATATAAATGAGGAAAAATTGTTGTGTATAAAGTTTTTAGGATGTCTTGTCCCTACAAGACTTCACCCAAGAGAGAAGTGTCCACGGGGCCCTGTGGGCTGCAGAGCCACCTTCAAGCGGGTGATGGTTGACTCTGACACATCACCCTCCATGTCCTCATGGCCGGGTCCCTCGCTCACTCTGTGGTCCCCAGCATCTGCTACGGTCCTCTTGGTCACAGCAAGCACCGTGGAGTTTAAAAGCCTGGTTTTGAGATCTGAGGGCCTGGGTTTGAATTTTGAAACTGCAAGTCACTTAAACTCTCCATGCCTTGGTTTCTTTACCAGTAAAATGAGCAGGGCTGATACTCAATTTGTTTGACAACTAGCATGGCTCAGGTGCTGACCTAAGAGTGGCCCAGAGGCCCCCTGATGTGCCAGGCATTCACTCTTTGGGGTTGGTTTGTTTAGGGCTCCTAGATAAGGCCCAGGCAGTGACGGGGCGCTGGGGAATTCAGGGCAGAGGCCTTTGTCAACTGATACGGAAGTATTTAAAAACATTTCACATTTGTTTTGGCTGTGCTGGTGAGTATTCCGAACAACAGCACTGAAGATGGGGCTAGGAATGCCTACACAGAGGTGCTGTGGGGTGATGTGGATGAAGCACTTAGCCTGGTACACACTGGTGCCAGGTCAAGTCAGCCACTGTGGGGTTCTTGCTGCCTTGTCTGTCTGTAGGGGCCCCCTCCAGCCCAGCCATCTCCCCGCTGTGATGTGCAGCTGACCAGCAGCACGTCCTTCAGAAACAAGCCCTTGCAAAGGCCTCCCATGGACCCTGGTGGAAACAACACCCTGCTGGTCCCAGGAGCAAATACTTACGAAATCATCGGACCACTGCTCCTCTTCGTCAGCAGGGTTCTCTGCAACGGCAAGTGGGAAGCAGAAGGCATGAGCTTAAATCTCAGCCGGCCAGCCCCACCCTGTCCACCACTATCCCGCGCCTGCCTTCCTTGCCCTTGGGCTCCCCGGTCCTGTTTACTTGGCCTTGAACAGTTATTACACTTATCTCATGTCCATCCACTTACAACTCCTCTTTTTTTAAAAAAATCCATTCTCAAAGCATAAAGGGAAGTCCCACTGAGGCAGAGCCATGGTACATCTGAACCATGTCTGTCTTTGGTAAGGAGCATTTGTAGGACTTAAGAATAACCCAGGAGGCACCTGCAATTCATACCATGTTGCTTCTCAGGATGTCTATGAATCAATATGTGGATGGTGTAGTAGGAAGAGCACTGGACTAGGAGTCACATAGACCAAAATTCCCGTGCAGGCTCTGCTCCTAACAAGTCGGAGAGTGGACAAGACAGCTAACATCTCTGGGCCTCAGTCTCAAGATCTGTAAGATAACAGATCACTTCTGGGATTTTCTGTGGCTCTAACTTTGTCTTTCTTATTGAAAAGCATTTACCTGGTGCTTTACTACATGCCAGGCAAGATTTTCAGAGTTTTGCCCTCATGTAGCTCTCTCAAAAACCTTATGAGGAAGCTGAGGCCTAGTGAACATAAGTCATTTGCCCAACGTCAGATAGCAAATAATAGAGCCAGGAGTTGAACCCTGCAGGCTGACTTCCAAGGGTATGCTCTGGACTCCAAGGCCATGCTACCTCACTGCCTTTGAATGCCAGCGTGTAGGCACTGTTCTTGGCTCCGCAGGCAGGATAAAAGTGGATATAACAGGTCTCAAGGAGCTTAGGATCTTGAAGAATAAAATAGATCTGAATTATGGACAGCCAAGGAGAATATCTGACCCTCTTTTCTCCAAAACACATTTAGAGTATGAGAAGCTTAGCATCCATCACATAAACTGACATTAGATGTTAAATGCAATTCGCTCAGCTAGGTAGGAGATCAACCAGGCACAGGTTCACATGGCAGAGTGGTTCCAGCGACTGTTATCAGGGAGGCTCCCAGCTCTTCTCGCATCCCACTGAGCAGCCAGGGTAAGGAGGCCCAGTGGATGGTCCCCGAATCCTCCAGAGCCTCAGCAGAACCTTTTCTTGCCATTTCTGGCCCTTGCCATGGCAGACCACTGACTCCAGCTCTAGGAGGACCCCAACGAGGCACAGGGAAAGGAATTACAGAGAAAAAAATGGGGGCCTGAAGGAGGGAAACGTTTAGATCAGAGTGGCCAGATTTTAAGCTACAGCAGCAACAGCGCCCTCTCTTGGGAAAAACATGATAGGCACTAAGAAGGAGCTTTATTTTATGAGCCAAATAATGGGCCTAACTTTGACATTCACAGAAGATAATTCTTATTAAGTTATGATTTGGGCTAACTTATACCGCATTCTAGTGTACTGCAGTCACTGGGGTTTTGCAAGAAACTCGAGAAGACTCGGTGAATAAGTCCCCTTCTCAATATACCAATACCTGGCACTGAGGGGGATACGTTTCTAATACCTTAAGTTTGGGGATAATTGAAGATCAGCACTTAAGGTGGCAAGATGTTTTTGTTTCAACCTTTAAAATAGAAACCTTTATAAAATGCCTTTATAAAACCCACTTCCCTGCCTTGCTGAGCTGTATTTGCTGAGCCTTTCCTCAGGGGGGCCGGGGCCCACTCTCTGGTCAGTTACTGCTGAAAGTACTTGCAGAAGCTCTCTAACTACTTTTCCTGTCCCCATTATCTTTCCTCTCCAACACATACTGTGGACTGTTTCTAGTGATTTTCTTAGAATAAAGTTTGGAGCATGCTGCTCCTCTCCTCAAGAACCATCAGCGGCTCCCTATGGAGTAAAGCCGAGGCTCTGTGTCCACACCTTCGGATGCCTGCCCCTCCTGTCCCTCCCTGGACCTCTCTTGCCGTCGTCCATGTTCGCTCAGTGATACTGGGCATCGCGTTCCTCCCAGCCTGCACTTTTGATCATTCTCTGCTCTGCCCGGGCTACTCCCCGGCCCATCTTCCTTCTTTGCGTGGAAGTCCCTGTTACAGCTCTGCCATTCGGTCTTGCCCAGTGCCTCGGGTTCTGACCCACGACCCCTTCCTCTGGGCCCTCGCAGGTGCTGCTGGCACCTTGATGACACGTGTGGTCCATTCTGCCCTGTGCTATGATCATTTGTTTGTGCCTCTCGGTACTGAAAACCAAGGCCTATTTAATTTATCTTTGTATCTGGATGACATTTGGCATTTGTAATCTGTGCAGTAATAAAAGTGTGAACCAACAAATGAGTTGAAGGAACGAAAATTAGGATACTAATAATAGATTCCATTTATTAAACACTTCCTGTGTGCCCTGGGCTGGGATAAGTATATTTTCTCAATTTTCCTCAAAATGGTGCTTTCTGGTATGCCCTTATGGTCTCAATTTTATAGTCGAGGAAACCAGTGCTAAGAGACGTTTCAAAACCTGTGTGAGGCCAGATGGCTGGTGAGTATGGGGGCGGGTCGGAGGCCAGGCTCCCTGTCTTGGCCCCTGTAGCTGAAATCTCATGTAAACTGCCTGATCCTCTACTGAGCCTTCGGATAAAACCTAGAAGAAACAAGAATGGCCCAATTCAGGCATCATAGAGCGCCAAGGCAGAAAAGAGAGAAAAGCATCACCGTTTGGGAGAAGTTGCCTGATGGCACCCTTCCCTCCCCCAGCTACACGCATCTGCTGGTCCTGCAAGCAACTCACAACATCCTGCTCTTAAAGTCACAGCCTGCAGGCCATTTCCCAAACTAAAAAGCAGGACGGTCCAAAGTACTAGATCCACACTACTGGTTGTCCAGCATCTCAGGGAGCTTCCTAAAGTGGGTGGGTTGTGATTTTAGAATCAGGCTCCCTGGGTTCAAATCCTGGCTCTGCTCTTTACTACCTGCTTGGCAGTGGACCAGGACTTTAATTGTTTAAAGCTCGCTTTCTCACCGGTGAAACAAGGGTAAGAATAGTGCCTGCCTCCCGTGTTTATGAGAATCAAGTAATACAATACATGTGAAGTGCTTCCCAAAGCCCGGCACACAGTAAATGCTGCATTAATGCTACTTATTGTTGCCTTGGGTATTGCCAATGCCTTAATAAACCCTCAAAACAATACCAATTCTATTTCACTCCAATGGCAACCGCTCAATATGGCTACCGTAGAGAAATGGACCCAAGAGAGCCTCTAGTGTAGAGGGTGATGCTTTCAGGAGGGTAAGTTCAAGTTTAATATGGGCCAGGTGGTTTCACTAGGGATGTCAGTTTGCACGCCCCTGGCAAGAACCTGAGATGCGGGTTGGGCCTCCTTACTAGGGAGAGCCTTTCCAATTGGGTCGTGTGCCTGGCTTGGGGCTTATGTTCCATTCACGGTGTCACAGTCGCATGCCGCAGAATAGAGGAGCTCCTCCCCTTGCCTGGCCCAGGCTCTGTGATTCACACGGCTCCCCAAGCCTGGGAGCACAGCAGCTGAGCTGTGAGGCCCATGCCAATGCCATGACGGCCCCGCCTGCACGTCCGCTCCGGGGTTTGGAGCTTGGGCTCTGGGGTCAGGCTGCCTTGATCAAAATCCTGATTCTGCCACTAGCTCGCAGCATGGACAGGCAAATTGCTTAACCTCTGGGCACCCGTTTTCTCACCACTGAAGTGGATCCGATAAGTAGAGCCCGTGTCATGGGTTTTGCGAGAATGAAATGAAATAGCCAAGGGAAAGGGAGTAGAAGGGCACCCGACACCCATCTATTGAGTAAGAGCGCAGTGGACACCGCTGGTTACTATTAATCTACTTTCATAACGACCTGAAGGATAGATCAGCACTCTCATCTCCAAGCAGGAAGCTGAGGCTCAGGGACGTTATAAAACTTTTCTAGGTTTACAGTGTTTAGGGGTCAAAGCCGGGATTCTAACCCAGGCTAGAGGACCCCAAAGTCCAAGGTCTTATCACCCAGCCATGGAGGTAATAGACCTAGAGTCTAGAAGGACAGCCACATATCACACGGAGGACAGTCCAGGGCGGTGTAGGCTTTCCTGACAAATGTCTCAATGCCTGGAATCATGGCCAGGTGCTGGGAAAGTTCTGCGAAGGGTACGCTCAGCAAGGGCTGAAGGGTTACATGAGGCTGTGTGGTGAAGGTGGGACTGAACGGGGCCTTGAAGGATGGCAGGACCCGAGTGAGAGAACGAAGATGAAGGAGGGCACCCTCCTTCCACCCCCTAAGGCTGGGACCTGTGTGTCAGCCCCAGAAGCAGGGCCTGGCTGATGGCTGGAAGGGGCATCCATAAGGCTCCATAGATGTGCCTGGAATGAACAAGCTGTTCCGGAGAGTCAGGGGAGAAAACAAAGCCAGACTTGTTGCCAGCCAAGGGGGTGATCCAGCCACAGAGACCACGGTAGGTCCCAGTGACAAACTTGAGGCAGGGAGGCTGATGAGGATGGTGTTTGAGAGGTTCAGGCATGAAATGACAAAGGCCGAACCAGACCAGGGGGCTTGGGAATGGGACGGGATGGCTGGAAAGACAGTAAAAGATTCTGTGGCGAGAGCTTGAGTGAAGCGGTGAAGGGAAGGGTGTGAATGGAGCATCCCTGTTCTGGGTCACGAGCAGCACCAGAGACCCTGGGCGTTGCAGGGTGCCCTCCATGCTGCGTGTCTGACGCATGCTCAGTTGTGGCCCTGATTCAGCTCTGGAGGCCCTGCTCTGGGCCACTGGGCCTGCCAGTTTCTCCTCTTACAGAGGTGGAGGTGGGATGTGGGGAAGCAGTGGGACGGCCACAGTGGGATGCAGGAAGGAAAGAAGGCAGGAGGTTCAGTTAGATGTGGTGGCGGAGGCAGATGCAGGGAGGGAATAGAAAGAAGAACTACAGAGGCTGCGGGGGAGGCAGCCCGTGGACGGTCCCCCTGGGTCTGTCCCAAGAAGAGAAAGGGATGTGACAGTGTGGGGAGCAGTTCTGAGCCAGCTAGGAGAGGTGATTTGCATCTAAATACTTCACATCTTAAAAAGTCCCTTAGCCTGTCCCTTCCTCCTTTCTCAGAGCCCTATTAATGGGGGGTGGGAGGACTGAGTCCTGACTTGGCCATCGCCTGGCTGTATGACCTTGGGCAGCCTCGGGGCCTGTATGGTCTCCAGCTAGCCCTAACACGAGAAGCTAGGGGTGAGTGGTCTTAAAGGACTTTCCAGGCTTTCAAATACCTTCGAGTCCAAGTTTCATTCCTCTATCCTTAGTTCCATGAGGCGGGGCTGATGGTGAATGCAGCTCTCCCCGAGTCAGCCTTGCTGGTACCACCAGTCAGAGCGGAGACAGGGAGACAAAAAAATCAAGTGAATACTGGCTTCAGTAAGGACACCAGGGCAAGGGCGAAGCAGGGTTACAGTTCACTTCTCTAGTGGACGGAGGGTTGCTATGCATTCCCTGTGCTTCTTACAACAGCCCCTGGGTATTAGGGCCCAAGGGTCCAAGGAGAGAGGCCCCGTCCAGTTCTGACCACTCAGGGGTGTGTGGAGCGGCCAGGGGAGTTTCTCTCCACAACAGTGTGACCTTAGGCAAATATTGACCTGTTTGCCTTCTCATTTATTATTAGACACCCCACTAGTCATGAAGCACCTGAAGGTCAGGGCTATCTTTTCTTCCCCACTCCCTACTTAGTAGATTCAGTGTCACACAAGACATACTGTGTCATATTTGTCAAATGAGTCAAAGAACATGTGAAACAGCAGAAGCACGTGGAGATATTGATTCCAGAGAAGAAACTACTCCAATGACCTAATTTCTTAATTTTATCCTTGAAGTTGCACAGAACACCTCTATCTCTGTTTTCTTGAATGTTTAAAGACTTGTGCTGTGTGGCCATGAGGACAGACTTAGGAAGCCATCAGGAAATGGACTGACTGCATCTCTGTCCTGCCAGGGCTGTCGGTCCTTGACAGGACCAGAGAGGCTTGGGAAGTCATCACAGGAAATGTCCAAACAGAAAGTGGGCCTCATTTGTGGTGCATGGTGGTGGTGGGGGCGGGGGGTTAAGCACTGGGTTGGATGTTAGGCTGTCGGATCTTTGGGGCTCCTTGTAGACCTGGGACTCTATGATTCCATAATTTTCCATCAAAACTCGGGGTACTTAGCAGATGTCATTTGCTTTGTTTTCCTTTCTTTTTTAGAACTTGGGAGAGAAGGATGAATTTTTTCTCATTTGTTAACTAAGCAGCTTGCTTGAGTTTTGGTTTTTTTTTTTCCCCCTTGGCTTTTGATCAGATAGATTTTAAAGGTCAGGACAGGGTCTTTATTTATTTATTTATTTATTTTATCTTTTCACTGCAAAGGAATCTCCTGGTCAACTGTTGAGACTTGCTGACTGATTGGCAAAGTGAAGTTAATAAGTACTCTGTAACCTAGGGAGTTCTGGAAAGTGGTCCAACAGGTCAGTCACCAGACTTGATATGTTGGTCAGCATTTCTTAGTGTGATAAGATTTAATTAGTGCCTAAGAGGAACTCAACTGTCTGATTTATTGCAATCTTGATCAGTAACAGAAAAAAAATAGTAAGCATCCGTGAAGGTTGTGATTTGGTTTTGGTTGTTGCGCTGTAGAGGAAGATACGTCATTGATGTCTGTAGCCCTGCGGTTTTCATTAAGGGCTATATAGGTCTGTCCATGTCCAGGAAATCATTATATTTAGGCCAGTAGAAAGAGATTTTAGACTTATCTTCCCAAGGCATTTCTTCTAGAAAAGGGAAGTATGTTGGATAATTTATTTTGCTCACCACTGCCATAAACAATACCAATCTCAAGATTACCCTCCGCTGACAAAATTGATCCTAGTTGGAATGGGTAGCAGGGCTAAAGTCAGAGAGGAATGAGTAACCATGCACCATCAATAATTTATCTTCCCCTCTTCCCCACCCCCACTGACCCTCAAGTATCCATTTTAACAATTCTCTCTCCAGGAAGTCTTCCCTTCCCCAATTCCTCCACACCCTCCACCTCAGATTAGATTAGACATTGCTGTATGGACTTTCATAGAACGTTGTGCTTCCCCATCACCCTGAACTCTAATTGCTTTTATATCATTGTATCTTCTTTTCGTCACTATAAATACTGTGAGTATGGAGACTATATCTGTCTTGTTTAGCTCTGTATCTCTACCTAAAACCGTGTATGTGCCTGGCACATGGAAGATACTTAATAAATGTCTGATAAATAGATGAGTGGATGCATGGATGGATGGATGGAATATCACATCTCCACTGTAGTCAAATGCCTAATGGATTTGGGCATTCTTAAAATTAGGATGGGCACCCTTATTTTCAAATGAGTAGAACATCGTTCCCTTTTCAAGAAGTAAACATGAACATGAAATTAGTCAAGAGTCCAAGTATTTTAGAAATACTCTTACCTGAGGCATAATCCCTTTGAGGAACACTCGGAGGTGCTTTGACTTTCAGCCTATAGAGAACAACCATTAGACAAATGGTCAGTGAGTAGGACAACTGTTGTCAAGGCCCATAACAGAAGCAGAGATAGAGATAACAGACAGATAACTAATAGAATAATGGCTTCTTTTGGACCCATCACATTGAAAGGTTAAATGTATTGTAAATGGAGTGAAGCCATTAACCAGAGGTCTCCCACCTCCCTCATCTCCTCAGTGTGTGATGGGGCTGTCACTTGGCAAAGGTGAAGTTCAGTGGTGGAAGGGTTCTGAGAGGTCAGAATACTAGAAAGCACAGAGTTCAGAGGTTCAAGGAAGAGAAATGTTGATTGGTTGATAGGACGGTAAGAGAAGATGAACTCTATTTTAATAAATAATAAATGCTTTAAATATCAAGAAAAATTTTAGCTATAACAGAGCACTTGGTTGTAGGTTGGACTGAGATTATTTAGGCACTATTTAAGAAGTGCCAAATAAGTGAGCAGTGAGCATCTCCAAGTTGGGGATTGTGATACTTAGCTTATTTAGAAGTTGAACTGTTTCAAGCAATCTCAAAACTACTTTAGTATCTTTATGCATGTATAAAATGTTTGAATATTCACAGTCCTTCCCCCTCACTAAAAGAAGAAAGTTAAAATTACGTTTTAAAAATGTTTCCCAATTTTTAGGCTTACTATAAGTTCTGATAACACCTCCCATTCTATTATTTGAAATGGGTAAGTTTTCTAGTAAATTATTATTCTTAACAATAGTTGCCCATTTTATTTAAGAATGATTTGTTTAATGAAATTTACAGTATATATAAATAAAACCTACATCCAGTAGCCTTTATTTACTAAAACATCACATCCTTTTTTAGAAGCAGGGCATAGGTTAACCATTACATGCAAAACATATTTCATTTCTTGTGGGAAAAAAGCAGTACAGAAATTCATGTCTGATTACAAAAAAATTAGCCTGATAAACCAGAATTTTAATGTTGCAAAAATAACAATATTTATATTTGCATAGAAATTCTGCTTTTTGTTTCCCCAAAGGTTCTCAGATAGATTATTTCATTCAATTCTCATAGCAAGCCAGCATGGGCTGGGAAGATATTATCATTAGATTTCTGATGAGGTCCAGAGAGAAAGATTAGCCACGGTGTTATGGGGGGAAAAAGCACAAAAACAAACAAGGAACGGCGCCGGGTCTGTTCCTGGACCAGTACAATTTCGAGAAACACAAACCAACCATTACCCGTTATTGCCATCATTTCATAAGAGAAAAGAAAGGGTATTTTAATACCCAAAATGTCTTAAGGTTATCATCTCGGGATAAAAGACAGACTCAGGAAGGGACTGGTGGTCACTGAACACCGACCAGGAATAAAAGCTGTGGTTTGGGCCTCACGTAGCAGCCAGCAGCTGCATGCCAACCCCCAACGCTTCAAGGTCCTTATTTTCTCATTTGGCCATGGACCAGTGACAACTCTGTCACGGTCTTGTGTTAAGAAACCAGTGTGTTCAACCGTGCTTCCTCCTTTCAAGGTAGCACCTGTTGCCTGGCAACGAGTAAGAGGGTAACAGCAGGTCACTCAGAAGCGAAGGGCCACTGACTTCACCCAGGGTAACGACTATGGCAGCCATATTTTCCAAGCTGAGAGGAAACATGGTTTGTCAAGTTTAAGTGTATTTTGGGAACAATAGGCATAATAAAATAGAAACTGTCTGAAAAACTTTGAGCTCCATGGCTACTCTAAGTATGCCTGACCATGGAATAGAGAGACGTTTTACACAGAGGCTTCATATTATTGAGAAAACTGGTGTATTGTAAGACTAACAACTGTGGGATAATTAATCTAGAATTGCTAGCGATTAAAACAATGACTAGCAGGGTTATCTCATTTCAATGAGATTCTGCATGTGTCAGAAATACTAAATGAGAATAATCACACAGCTCTCTCCACCACAGGACAGAACATGAGGACAAATTCTCCTCCTCTAGGAGATGCCCCACAAGCAGAAGACCATTTTAACTATTTTATGATAATCACTTATACATATTGAGACTCATTTGCATTTTATAGTCTAAAAACACCATAAAATATGATTTCTTACTTTCAAGTTTAACAAAGACCAAAAAGAATGAAGACACTGTTCTGAAGGCATAGGGAAATGATTTGCTTTTTGATACTTAGCTTATTTAGAAGTTGAACTGTTTCAAGCAATCTCAAAACTATTTTAGTATCTTTATGCGTGTATAAAATGTTTGAATATTCACAATCCTTACCCCTCACTAAAAGACAAAATGGTACAAAATTTTTGGAAAGCAATTTGATAGTATCAATATTAATGGTACAAAATTTTTGGAAAGCCATTTGATAGTATCAATAAAAATTTCGATGGCATAAATTCTTCCATCTAGAAATTTCATTTTAGGAGTTTAGCTTTCTGGTATACTCAAAATATGTAAAAATTATTTATTGAAATGTTATTTATGAGAGTTAAGCTGAAAGAAATGGCCACAAAATTTTTAGTGATCTTATCAAATTGTCCTCCAAGAATATGTCAGTTTAAACTCCCACATTTCTTTCCGATATCTGGTTAAATGAAGGATAATACATTTATAGCAGACTATTAATAAGCTGTTCAAAAAATATATATACCCTATTTTTACATACCATCAAAGACGTCCATGATATAGCATTAAGTAAAACCACTAAGCAAAGCAAGTTGGTAGAATGGTTTATGAAGTATGTCACCATTCATGATGAAAATGTGTGTGTGTATAGGTATGTACTATATCACATACATACAGATATATATACCAGACTCACTCATGACAATGTCTATTTCCCTGGAGTTGGTTGAGGTGGGAACATGGAGAAGTGGGAGATTTTGACTTTATGCGATTCTGAACTCTTTGATTTTTTTTCCTGGTGAATCTCTACTTCTTTCACTTTCTGGATAAAAGAACGTAAACAAAAACTTAATGGAATACCATTTCCTCTTTCCTCTTAGATTTTGAGTGGCAAATACAGGTATGTACAATTTTTATCTTTTTTAAAAAAAAAAAGCTTAAGAGTTTTTGATGTGCAGGAAGATTTGAAATTCTAGCTTTCCCTCTCCAAGTACCAGTTGAAAACACTATTTTAAGGCCATAATTGAAAAAGCAAAAATGGAAATATGGAAAACAGGTATGGCATCCTAAAGATGCTAAGACTGTGTTCTTCTAACTTCTCTTTTGGATTTCTCGAAGCGTGTCCTAGTGGACTTTAACTAAATAGTTATAGAAACTGATTATCCTGTTTCTATAAACGTCTTTGTTGACATTTGCTGGCACCTTGAGTGGTAGAGCTCACTTTTACTGCTGTGAGAGGAAAAAGCCAAGTGTCCTGAGTATCACCCCATTCATTTTCCATGTTTCCTGAATATGGATCTTACTACCATGGACTCTAGCCATGAGTAAGAAAGGGTTACATGCTAAAGAGGCTGCAACTCCTCACTTGGGTAACAGAGAACTTTGTTCTCTTCCACCTAGCACAGGCTAGAATAATGTGTTATTTATATAAACGAGTGCTTATATAGTGCTATGGAGTTTAACTTACTTTTTGATTTTGTTCATTATTCCACCTTCATTGTTCTTGATATCGTGGACCATCTTTTGAAGTTGCCTGCAAGAAACAAATTAAACATAAAATATTAATAACTAGGTTGATTTAAAAAAAAAGTCTTCTGTCCTTCTTGAATACAAAAAGAAAAAAGACCTACAATAAACCCCTCAAACGGTGTGAATCATATTATATTTAATTAAGTTGACCATCTGCTACTTGAGTAAAGGGAAAGTGTGAGTGATTCTGTAAGGAATGTGGTCATTGGGCCATGTCCCTGTCCCTGCCCATTGGCTATCTGGGCCAGGGTCAGGCTCTGAAGACAAATTGTGGTTTCTAGATCTGTCCATTCTGAGGACACATGTGAGGCAAAAGCCCTCTGATAAACCTCACTATTCACCACTGATTGTCCTTAGAGCATTCACATTGCAAGTTGGAGCTACCTTGAAGGACACATGAGCTGAAATCAGGTCCAAGATTTTTTTTTGGTGAACTTTACTAGGTAGAATCTGGAAAAACTGTCACCAAAAAGTTGTATATACACAGAAGCCATAAAGAAAATGATTAATGAATCTGGCTGCATACACATTTGGAAACTCTGTAGAACAAAAAGTAATATGCACAAGATCAAAAGATAAATGATGTGCTGGAAGAAATATCTGTGACACAATAATAATAATGACTCCATGTTTTGATTGACAGAGAAATCTTATGACTCAGCAAAGTAATTATTAATAATTTAATAGGAAATGGGCAAAAGATGTGAACACATAGCAAGCAGAAAAGGACAAGTGGCCAACAGACTAATGAGAAGATATTTAACATTACTTATATTTAAAGAAATCTAAATCAAAGCAAAAATGAGACATGTTCTACTTATCAGATTGGCAGAACTTAACGTGATAATACCCTGGGTAGATGGGGGTACAAAAATACAGATATTCTTGGGAATGCACATTGTTACAATCAATACCTGTTAAATTTTAAAACCTGCATGCCTTTTGACCCAGAAATTCTACTGCTAGCAATTTACCATTATAAACATGGTCATAAAACCATACCATTATGTACATATAAGCCTTTTGCATAATAACCATAATCCTTCCTGCCTCCCCACTGAAAAAAACTGGAAACAACCTAAATGCCCATCAATCATTAAAAGGGAACTAGTTACGTAGACTTTGATAAAGCCATACAATGGACTACCACAGAACTTTAAAAAAAAGAAAAAAAAGAAACACATACCCGTACTGCTGACACATAAAAAAAATCCCCAACACATACTAAGTTAAACAAAACGGTGAAGGAGAAAAAAGCAAAAAAGGAAGAAAGGAACGGAAGTTCAGAATAATGTGTATCACATATTTTTTTCTGTGGGATGCGAAAGGACACGTACATTCCTATGAGCCAGTACATGCATAGCTTTTTAGAAGGACATGCAAGCAGTTATTCAAAGATTGTTTTCCAAGGCAATGGAGTGTCCTCATACAAATTAGAAAAAGGTACCCCTTTCTTCTGGGTGGGCACCTGCGTGGCGGCAGGGCACACAGCCTGGCAAACAGTCAAGGAAGGAATAGATTTCAGCCTCTACTTGTCCTCATAGCTGAGCACCCTTGTATCGACTGTGGAGTGAAAGCTGGCGGCTCGAGGGGGGATGGGGGCCTCCGTTTTATAAAAAGGAGACTTCCTCTTTACGATGAAGATTTTTCTATATGATTTGAGTGTTCATACCTTGTGCATATATCATTTCTATCATGTTTTATATGGATATATAAAGAAAAATGTGAACAGGGTCGGAGTACAGGGCCATGGTTTTTCTCTTCATAATAACTTTCTGACTTAAAAATATGTACTTATATTTATATATATTTACATGTAAATATATATTCATGTGTCAGTACGAAATATACATACTTAATTTTATATTGTATATAAAAATGATGTATATAAATATATAAAATATATTTCTTATTTATATTTATATATGCCTAAATTATATATATAATAAATTATATATATATATATATACAATTTCACACGGTTCTGTCCTCAAAGAGTAAGATAGTTGAATTCAGTTTTCAGGCAAGCCTTTCCTTTGTTCTGAGGAAACAATGTGCTTGGGCCCTATAGTTAACAAAATGTAAATCTCGTACACAACCATTGTTCTCGGAGAAAATTGTGATTTCCCATAAACCTGATTGCAGATTTCTCTAACTCTGGGAGATAAGCCTTGCATTGGGTAATGTGAACAGCGTTGCACAATTAAGTTTGGCAGAGGTCTATGAAACCCTGTTGACTAGGGGGAATCTGGAGGAACATTCCCTGGCTCTGCATGGATTTAGGACACGCGTGTTGCCAAGCTCTTCAGCGTGGATGGAGCAGTTAGAGCATGGGAGGCAGCTTGCTGGAGGAGTGCTGCCTGGCCTGCCTGTTGGCGTCTCTGCTGCTGAGTGTTAATTTAAGGCTAACTAACCCACCGAGGCTGATGTTCTGCTGTAGTTGTTGACTGAGAGCCACTGGGCACTGAGGGGTGGGGTGAGATTTACTGGGTAGGGATAGACCCTCCTCCCCTCAACCATTCTGGCAAAAGGAAGACTCTCAAATAAGGAATGGGAACTTGCACTGGGGATTTTAGGGAGCCCTCTCCCCTTCCAGGTCTAATGGACTGTTAGGAGCTAATCCTGAAGAGCATAGACCAACCTGAAGGATATTCATTGGTGGGCAGGTGGGGAGGGATACAAGAGTGGCTGGGTTTGGGCTCCATCTCTGAGAAGAGCCCTACCTGGCACCATCACTAGCCATTTGCAATGAGAGAATTCCTCCAATTGCCCCTGAATATTCAGTGGTATCCTGGCGGTTGTTGTACCCTGGCCTCAGCCGGGCTGTGGGGAAAGGTGTGTTCCATGGGCTTGGAGGAGCGAAGCGCAGAGGGAAGACAGGCTGGAGGGTGGAGTAGAAGGATAAGAGAAACTTCTTTCAGGACAACCTTAAGCTGCATCTTGGGAAATTGTCTACAAAACTGGGGGACCCACTGAGGGGCCCATGTTGGGATGTGGGGAGAGGTCAGTGCCAAGTGGTAATTTGTATAACAGAGGAAATGAGACCATATTTTATATCCCCAGTTAGGGAGGCTGCACCCACTAATTCCATTCATATGAGAACTCAGCAAAGCCCCAGGTTCAGCAGCAGAGAAGAAAGAATGGATGAGGGAGAAGGGGGACCACCTGCCCATCTGAGACACACAGAGGGATTCTAGAGCTGGACCCTTGAGTTGCCTCAGAACGCCATAGAATTTTTTCACATATATCCTGCACCAAACCCCTATCTCCTTTTCCTGCAGAACTCTAGGGAATCTCTGAGACAGAGGAATGAGGGAAAATGAAAGATAAGAGGTCTGGGCGTGGAGAGAAGGAGAGATTGGGAGAGAGAGAGAAGTTGGAATGGTTTGATTGGGAGGCAATTTAATAGTTTCCAGTGCAGAACAGAAGGCAACTCTGGCTGTAAGCTGACTGTAATCGAAAAAAACACCTTCAGGCTGAATTAATCTTTAACTAGGTTCAAGGACAAAAGGAGTCAGAATAAAGGATGCTCTCTGAAGTTTGTCAAGAATGGGACACAGAGTAAGGGGCTGATTTGTATAAGTAACTTTGCTGCAGGTGTAGATAAACAGATGTAAACTGTTGCAAGAGTTTGATGTGATTTTGTCATTTGCTCAACTTGGTATCTGATGCTTTTTGGCCCTTCCTAATTTCTTTTCATTATATATTATTAAAGTAATTATAATTATAATTTGTAATTATGGCACATTGTTGAATTGTTTCATAAACTATACATTTTGTGTGCAAAATTTTTCTCCTCCCTCCTCCTCTCGTTCACACAAATCCTGATGCCCACAGACTGTCAGTTACAGCCACCAAACTTCTGTTACCTGGAAAAACACAGTGTCCCCCAAACCAAGATGTGATGATGCTCTCAGCTCATTTTATCGAATAGTCTGTGTGATGCACATCAACTGTGTGATGCACACCTTTCCTCCTCTCTGGCATCCACTTTGGAGCATTTTTTTGCTCTACTACAACATAAAGCATATGCAAAAGGAATATACAGGTGGACTGTTCCCAGATTTAAATACCAGCTGTCTCACTGTGATAAGTCATGGTTAGGTGAAAATAAGCATAAAACAGCTTCTCTTTGATTAGTCCTTTCAGAGATATCCTTCCATGGATGGCAGAGAATAATAGGATCACAATTTAATTTTTAAAATTGTGAAGACACAGCCATGTTCACGTAACAAAAATAAAATTAAGAACAAAACTTACCTGATATATGTTTTAAAAAGATGTTAACATGGTAATTCCTACCAAAATAACACCAGCATTTTTCACAGAGCTAGAACAAACAATTCTAAAATTTGTATGGAACCAGAAAAGACCCCGAATAGCCAAAGGAAAATTGAAAAAGAAAAGCAAAGCAGAAGGCATCACAATTTTGGACTTCAAGATTGTATGACAAAGCTGTAATCATCAAGATAGTATGGTACCAGCACAAAATAGACACATAGATCGATGGAAGAGAACAGGGAACCTAGAAATGGACCCATAACTATATGGACAACTAATCTTCAATGAAACAGGAAAGAATATCCAATGGGAAAAAGACTGTGTCTTCAACAAATGGTGTTGGGAAAACTGGACAGCCACATGCAGAAGAATGAAACTGGACCACTTTCGTACACCATACACAAAAATAAAGTAAAAATGGATGAAAGACCTAAATGTGAGACAGGAATCCATCAAAATCCTAGAGGAGAACACAGGCAGCAACCTCTTTGACCTCGGCTGCAACAGTTTCTTACTAGACACGTCTCCAAAGGCAAGAGAAACAAAAGCAAAAATGAACTATTGGGACTTCATCAAGATAAAAAGTTTCTGCACAGCAAAGGAAACAATCAACAAAACTAAAAGGCAACCCACGGAATGGAAGAAGATATTTGCAAATGATATATCAGATAAAGGGCTAGTATCCAAAATCTATAAAAAATTTATCAAACTCAACACCCCCAA